ACAGAGTCGACATGGGCTGAGACGTCCTTGTCGGACCAGGATCTGGGCAGACGGATGCGGGCCGAGTGCAGGATATTCTCCCTGACTGTCAGCTCGGGTAGGACAACGTCATCTTGAGGCACGTAGCCTATGATTTTCTTGTACTGCTCAATCTTTCCCGGAATGTTGTTGACAGTGACAGTACCCCCAGTGTTCTTCGTCTTACCCATGAGCACGTTGACAAAGGTCGACTTTCCGGCGCCAGAGCCGCCCATGACGGCGACGAGAGAACCCTTATCAATGCGGCCAGTGACATTCTGTAGAATGGGCGTGGGTCGGCCTTTCGGTTGAAATGTGAGCCCATTGTATGCGAAGGATAGACCGAGGTTGTCGGCTTGTACATCCGTGGCTCTTGACATGGAGTCGACAAAGGCCTTGAGCTGCGGATTCAACGCGGCCAGTGTGTTCGCTCGGCGCAACTTGACTGTCGGGGCGCGCGCCACGGGTACATCGAGGACAGCCTGAAAGCCAGTCCCGGGCCTGTATGGCAGATACGTGAACTGCATAGGTTGCATCTCCTGGTCTGTCTCGTCGTCAAGCTGCTTGTAACCTGTGACTGCAGCCTGAATACCTTTTCTGGATGCAGACTTGGCTATGAATGGGATTCCTGGAAAATTCATCCTCTTTCCATTCTTCCTTCGCTGCCGTAGGACAACCCACAGCAACATGGCGCCAATGAAAAGATCAACAATGACAACAATGCCCACTGGGATCACAACAGCTTCGCTCGTAGCGCCCTTGGGACAGTAGCTGCCGGTGCTGCAAGGGGTTGGCGATGGTGCGCCGGGCTGGCAATATGAACCAGAGGGACATTTGATGGTCGTCCTCTGCGCTGGCGGGCAATAGTAGCCCCCTTGGCAGATTATGGGCTCGAAAACACCCATGCCAATATTACGGCCCTCAAACTCGCAAGCCTTGCCAGCCAGACGGGCTTGTTGGCAGATCGTCAATGGCGTGCAGTATTGCGGAAGAGAGTTGACGGTGTTATTCTGGCCTTTGAGGGGATCAGCATACCCACAAATATGATCGAGCCCGCAGCAATACTCACAGAGAAAACCTTCAGCACAGCCATGCTCCTGCCACTCGTCGATGGTCTGTATTTGCACGGGTACGGCACCAGGCCTGAAACAAGGAGCGCCATCCACAGGTGCTTCGTCTCGCTCAAGCTGAGCTGCTGCTCTATAGTAGGATGTGGAGAAGGTTGTGTGATTCGTGCCTGAGCAGGTTTGGTCGTAGACTGGCAAGTCATTGTTACCTGTGATGGGCACCAATTCAGACTTGTTATCAGCCCACTTGAGAGCCTTTGTTGTGTCGGGTGGATTTGTCGCATCGTGTATCGGGCCGTCAAGCGTTGCCGCATCATTTTGTGCGTTGAACCATTTGCCGTCATTTGTCAGGTACATCTCCTCGGTTCGGTTGCCGAGACATCGCCAGCCAGCGGCCCCATCTTGTCCGGGAGTGGTGCGTAATGAACAAATACACGCTTGTGTGTCGACGAAGGTCGGCCCCTCTGCCTGAACACGCGGTAGCAATGGTGCTTGTGGTTGGCCAATCGTTTTCAGAAACGTGGAATTGCTTTCGAAACCTTTGAAGCTGTCGGTGTCGCCCATGGTGAGGTCCTGGTAGTGGTGTAATCCCTGGTTGACGCAACAAGGTTAGAAGTTGATGTGTTGAAACGCCCGTGTTGTCCAAAAGCCCAACAGCGCTGTCGACCACAGCCATAAGTCTTATCTTTATGGCATTAAATCGTCTCAACCACAAAGAGCAACTCATAAGCACACGGAGGTCTTTCCCTTGCCCTCACTGCAGCGCCTCTAATCTTATGCTGAGGTTGCGAAGGATGACCACAGCCATCTTTCCCCTGTAACTGGGGCGATTTACAGGGAGCAATGCTCACCAAAGTCAGCACTATGTGCACAGCGGACAGGGATGAAATCCGACATGACCATTCAGGGACCTAGGGCCCCATGACACGGACTCAACTTGCAGTGCAAATCGCAGACATTGCCAATGCGAAGCGAATACTTCTATTTTGGACAATGCATGGAGTAATCGAGGATTGATTGAGAGGACAGTATAGTTCGCGAATGAAGCGAGTTGAACAAGGTATTGCAGCGGGAGGTTGCTGGTCTCCGAGCCTTCATTGACCATCATACGCGAGCTTTACGCGTACCGCGAATTGATTGCGGCGATGATCTCAGCATGACCACAGATGTATGGTGGGTACATCACTTAAGCAGAAGTTGTTGTTCAGCCCAGATTTGCCTGATAGCATCTTGCACAATTGGGAACGCCGCTAGACCTGTGCATCATGAGAAGAAATCTTCCTTGGACCAAAGATGAGACTGACGGAGATTGTCTTTCTTGGTGCTACTTGAGGCGCCGTCGAAGGAAGATTGGATGGTGCAGGATCGCAATCCTCGACGAGTGGTGGTTTTACGTTTTCAAGGCTTCGTTCCTTCCGCGCGTGGGATCTTGACCCTGTGCCTCGGTCGAGTCCAAGTCCTGCTTGGCGCGGGTGCGGGAGAGGGCCGCCTGCGGTCACGGCACTGCCTGGCTAGATTGTTGACATGGCTCTAAAAATAACGTGTCAAGTGTTGTGGTAGATTTCTCAGTCAGCACACCCTACACCGTCCTTGAGTCGTTGCACATTATGTCGCTTGAAGGTCAAAGTGGTTCAGGGTCGAACCGAAGTTGACTGTCGGCAGAATCTGGGGATTCCTCCCTTGCATTCCTCGTCGTCGTCAGCGACTTGTCTTGGGTGCGCGTTGCGAGCGGTGTCGACCGTTCGCAAAAGCCGGGACTGTCTCATGCCCTAGTGTCTCAAAAACATGCCGATTCTGATTGTCCGGGAGCGATTGGTATTGTCGGTATTGGGTTCGATTCTGTGGAGGTTAGTAGGCACAGGTGCACCATGCGGCCAAGTCACGGGGCAGCCGTTGGGCATATCGTCAGGACAGGGATGATAGAGAAACTGTTGTGCGGCTTATGCCGGAAAACGGCGGCTGAGTTGGAACGGTGTGGTGTGTGGGAGATGCATGTCGCTTCGCGTGGCATTTGGTGGCCAGAGTCATGTTGGTGATGTATGTTTTGACAGTAGAGTAGATGGATAACTGGTTATCGAAGGGCGAGGAATGACGTGAGGAGGAAGGCCAATTGAGCCTCAATGGACGTTCAATTCACATGCTGTTGTTGGTTGGATGAAGGGATGGCGCCGTCCAGGGAGGGAATTGGGTTAGACGAGAGGGCCGAGGTTGGGTCGAGGAGAGAAACGAGGAAACAAGCACGATGCAGACAGACAGAGAGAGAGACAAAGCACTGACGTAGGACGCTTTCATCGGGTCCACCTCGCTCCCCCGCGTTAGCAGTGACCTCAGTCAGCACGCTGTAGCCACTGGAATTTCTGTACCCACCATCTGGAGGAAGCTGCCCCACCTGCGATGGCTGGAGCTGCCTTGGACCGTCTGGGCCGGACTCGCCATTGCTGGCACTGCTGATCCCATCCGTCTTAATTTTCGGATCGTCGCCTTCTTGGCTTTTTGTCTTACCCCAAGCCTCAGCTTCCTTCCTCCACCGCCTCTTCGCCCTCCCTCCTCCGTCGCCTCCATCCTGCCATTGACGGCCAATCGATGGTTGATCGCTCTTCATCACCGTTGCCAACATGTCCGACTCAGGTACCATCACCTCTGAAGAGCAGGCCCGCCGTGCTGTCATCGCTGAGCATCTTCCTGCTGGCTATGGCACCGGCTTCGACGCCAGCCTGGCCGGCTCTCCCGAGCAGTCGAGACACGCTTCCCACACGGAAGTGAATGAGATTGACGAGCCTCGGGAAGAGTCCTCTCTGCTGCTGCAGGGTGGCGACATCCACAGAAGTCTCTACAAGCTGGACGCTCGCGAGCGAACTCCCAGCATCCGCCGAGCCCAGACCTTCTCCCACCCACACCGAACCCTCGACGACGATGACGAATCGATTCTTCCCGCCGACGAGATGCTGCAGCCCCAGGGCTTCCGACGCCAATTTGTCCTTCAGAAGCACGGCGGCGTCGCGGGAGCCAACCTGCCCATCACAAGAAACTTTGTCGAGTTCCTTGACCTATACGGCTCGTTTGCCGGTGAGGACTTGGCCGATTCGGACGACGAGGCCATTGAGGATGATGAAGAGGAGGATGCCGAACAAGCTGGGGAGAGGCGGCCTTTGCTGCCACGCCGCAAGTCGTCTCGCCATGTCCGAGCCGGAGATGCCAGCACCATGCAGACCTTCTTCACGCTGCTGAAGGCCTTCATCGGCACCGGCATCATGTTCCTGCCGAAAGCGTTCAAGAACGGCGGCATTCTCTTCTCGTCCCTCACCATGGTCGTGGTTGCCGCCATATCGATGGTGGCCTTCCATCTGCTTCTCCAGTGCCGCGCTCGCTTCGGCGGAGGTTATGGCGATATCGGTCGCGAGATTGCTGGTCCCCGCATGCGAACACTGATCCTGGGGTCCATCACCCTTTCTCAGCTTGGTTTTGTGTGCACAGGACTCGTTTTCGTCGCCGACAACTGGTTTTCTTTCCTCAAGGCCGTCACCCATGGAGCCAACCCCTTGTCATCGACAGCCCTGATTGTCATCCAGGCTCTGATCATGGTCCCGCTGTCGTTCATCCGCAACATCTCCAAGCTCGGCCCCGCCGCACTGCTGGCCGATGTCTTCATCGTCATTGGCGTCGGCTACATCTGGTACTTTGACATTTCGGTCCTCTCCACGCAGGGCATCCACGAGTCTGTGAAGCTCTTCAACCCGGAAGCATACACCCTTACCATTGGCGCCTCAATTTTCACCTTTGAGGGCATTGGCCTGATTCTGCCGATTCAATCTTCGATGAAGGAACCCGAGCACTTTGAGCGGCTCCTCGGCATGGTCATGTTGCTCATCACTTGCGTCTTCACCAGCGTCGGCGCAATGTGTTACGCCACCTTTGGCTCGGAGACGAAGATCGAGGTCATCGACAACTTCCCACAGGATTCCAAGTTTGTCAATGCCGTACAGTTCATGTACGCCCTTGCTGTCCTCGTCGGCAACCCCGTCCAGCTCTTCCCGGCGCTGCGTATCATCGAGGGCAAGATCTTTCAGCATAGGTCAGGCAAGAAGGACCTCTTGACCAAGTGGAAGAAGAACGTCTTCCGCACGATGCTCGTCGCCCTGTGTATCGCCATTTCCATCGGCGGCTCCGCCAATCTCGACCGCTTCGTCGCCCTCATTGGCTCCTTTGCTTGCGTCCCGCTCGTCTACATCTACCCGCCCTACCTGCACTACAAGGGTGTTGCCGGAACGCGCAAGCAGAAGCTTTTCGACATTGGCCTCATGACCCTGGGTCTTGTCGGCATGGTATATACGACCGCCATCACGCTGGCCACAAGCTTCTTGTAAAAAAAAGAATTTTTGCATCCTCCTTTGCATCGTGCTATTGGTGGCACTGGGCGTTTTCATGTTTTCAACGCGCGTGGGATGAACGGGATCTGGCGGTAAAACAAAAGGGCAGAGAAGAGGAAAGAGCACATGTCTGGATTTAGAGGTGGTCAATACATATTCTGTACTTGGGACCCGATGGCAATCGCACTGGTTCGGCTGCGGTGGTAAATCTGTGTCATGTTGGCCTCCGTCTTGAGAGAAGTGTTGGGTGATTCTGGTGAGGGTCGAAATGCAAGTCGCGGTGTTCGCCCAGTCTACCTGGAAATCAATGAGACACACCTCAATGACGGCAATGGATTCCCGTTTTCCGATGGGGCGGCTGTTCCCTCTGACCCGTCTTGATCATCCCGCTGCTCAACCTAGTAGTTATCGAGCTGCCGGTTTTGTGTGTCGTCAGTTCGTCAGCGGCTTGACGTGACAACGGCCCAACTTTGACATGTCGCATTCTGCTGCATTGTTTCGAATAAATACCACCTCGGAGCGTCACTCGGGCACCATTCACGGTCGGGTTCTCAGGCCTCCGGGCAGCTATCGCCGATCTCGTCGCTCGGCACATGAGTCTCTCGCCGGCGGCAGCACACGCAAAAGGCAGGTCTTTACGGAGTTTTTCTCGGATCACGTCACAGAGCCCACCGTGAAGCAGTCCACGATGTGTCGTCCTGGACCTCGGAACCCCCCACACGTTCCGCCCAACTCGCAAGCTGGCTTAGCGCCCGCTGGTTGCCCCTGAGATGCCTATCTCGTCCCCAACTCCCGGTGCGGCGCCATGGCAGCTTCCCCATGCGGAATGCCGCGCGCCGGCGATCGCCCGCATCGATCAACCCCGCAGATCCATTGCATGTGCCGTAGGGTACGGATTTGGGGAAGAATACCGGCTTTGCGTGCATGGTCTGACAGAAAGACTAATTCCACGTGGATGCCGGGGTGGCTCGTCAGTGGAGGAGCCTGCAAGGAAGAACAATAATGAGGCTGTGACGGGAAAAGCCGACTATGGTGATGATTTTCCCGCCAGTGTCCTGCATAGTTGACCATGGTGTCGTAGTTTGTATAATAGGGGTCGACTGC